ATGCGTCCTTTGGCATGGCGACCAACACACCGCGCATTTCTCATCGCATGGCGCGCTGGATTTCGTTCTTCTCCGAATTCACCTTCGCGGTCCAGTACAAGCCCGGGAAGGACAACATCCTCGCCGACGCCCTGTCTCGGCGTCCCAATCTCGAACTGACAATGATCGGTCTTTTGACGTCTGGTCTTCACGATCGGATCCGCGCGGCATACCCCCTTGACGCTGACTGCTTGTCGCGCCTGGCGGCGCTTACCGACCCCGTTTCCCCCAAATCGCGCTGCGCATCGTCGGCCATGCATCGTTTTGCCCTAACCGATGGGCCGAGTCCGACGACCAAACGGAACGCGCCAACAGTGTCCTGGAAGATAATCTTCGGAGCTATTCCGTCTCTACCGACTTCTCGTGGGCTGTCACGGTACAGCACACGGTTTTCGCTTACAACGCTTCGATTCAGGCGTCCACTGGCTTTTCGCCCCACTACGCCGTCCATCTCTAACACCCCCGCCTTCCACCGATGCTTGACGGTTCGATTTCAAGTGGGGGGGTCACTGCGCGGCTTTCTTCTGCGGGCGTAACTCCACAACGCCCCCGGCCGCACCCTCCAGACCATCCCGCCGCGTCACTGTCATGCAACTGATCCATGACAACATCGCTGTAGCTCAGCAGCGCCAATCGTCTCAAGCCAACAAACATGGCCGCTCCAACCTCTCGACTTTCGCCGCCGGCGACCAAGTCCTCCTCCTGAAGTCGGCGGTGCCCGTCCATGCCTTCCGCACCCGCGAAGTCAGGAAGTCCTCCAACGTCAAGCTCGGTAGTGCTTGGCACGGCCCTTTTACCGTCCTCCGCGTGGTCAGTCCGACCTACTACAAACTCGATGTGCCCACCTCATCGCAGATCCATCCAACATTTTATGTGGGTAAACTCAAACAGTATTTACCCACGACGGATGTAGTGACGGCAAACAATCCTTTGGATTCCGTCGCGGCTCCTCTTCCTCTTCTGCCACCGTCGACTTCTCCACCTCCCCCCGCGTCCCCGGCGTTGAAGCCCGCGACATCGCAAACCTTACATCGGGTTCGCGCCGCATATTTACCCGGGCGGCGATCCGTGCGACAGACCGAGCGTCCAAGCGCCCATGCTTCTGTCGCCGCACGCCGGCGAAATTAGATAGCGAGTTGGCCAACCGCCCCGCTGCCTTGTCCGACAAGCGTCACACAAACGCTACAAGGTACTAAAGCAATGTCTCATCATTGCAAAGCTCGATCCGCCCGACATGCTGCGCACGTACCCCAAGTCCACGCCACGCCACCCGGCAGGCGTGAAGATTCGCGAGCGATCCCAGTGGAACCCCAACTCTCGCTCGAACACTTCGTCTGGAGTGAGGCCGGTCCGCTCTGGCCCACCAGCTTCGCCCTTCACTTTGGCCTGCGTCCTCACGGCGACTCTCTTGACGCTCGCCTTTCCTTGCTTTCCCCGACGCCTGCAGTGTTGGGAAGGTGTCCCCGTCATACTTCCATTGGCCAACTTTGTCGCTGCTACTGCAGCCTCCTTGGCTGCTTGGTCAGCCGCTTTAGCTGCGGCCGTTGCGATTGCCTTCGCCTCGTCGGCCGCTCTCGCCTTCTTGGTGGCCTCCTCTCGTGCCAACTGCTGATCTGCACGCCTTCGGCGCCTACTGTATGCATGACGCTTTTCAGAAAGTCCGCAGCCGCTTACTGCTCCAGCTGCCCAAGCCGTTCGCACTTTACTGTCGTCTTGACCTCCTAGTCAACCTTGCACTGTGCCAACGTCGTTCGACTCGGCTTTTAGGTACACTACCTCCTCTTGTGGCACCGGCACTTCGGCCACTTCCACGCTGTCGCCGGCATCCTCGGCGATTTCGCTCGCCTTGCGCTTTTTGCCGTCGCCTTCCATCGCCAATCTCAACTGTCAGGTCACAGTTCCCTCTCATTTCTGACCACGTGATGATGGCACGTTTAATCTTACGTAGGGGAGGGTGTAACCGTGCCCATCATCCAGTTTTCAATCGGATGACTAAATCAACACCTCTCCAAGGTGTCGTTTCGCTTACTAACATGTCCTCTTGCGCGACTAAGGTGTTTTCCCAACGATGCATTAATGGTTGGTTGCGCGTAGCTTAGTGATAGCGTAGTAGTCTTAACGCTATCAACTCAGTATTATTTCTTCCATCTCCTGCGTGTTCCTCTGCGAACGCTCAAAACCCGCGTTGGAGCG